GCTTCAACTAAATCTTTAGAAATTGAGTTTAAGATCCAAGATGTTACCAGATTATCGATTCTTTGCCATCTCTTTCTCAAAGGAGATCCAGCTAAAGGTTCCTGTTCTTCACTAGTGACAAATTAATACTTGTCTCTGGCCTTTAAGGCTATGGTCATAGATCTACTCCATTACAAGAAATTCCGGCCATTCAAGGAAATATTCATGAGGTTTGAAGCTGAGTTTTCAGATGCAGAAACTTTATAAGTCTCTGATTCAATATTTATGTTTTCATTGTTTTGGTTAATATGTTCTGCCATTGATTTCAGGAAAAGAAGCTTGAATGAAGCTTTAGAATTTCAGATACCAGATCAGGCTCTGATACCATGAACAGAAAAGCAGAAAAGCAAAAATAGATGAAGAATTTGTATATTTCTTCTCTGATTTGAAGACTGTACATTGGGCTCTATTTATATTTACAAGTGTGTAGTATATTCTTATTCTAGGACCTACTATATTGTACATTTCCTCATGTAACAGAATTACAGCTGTAAAATGGGTTTGTTATATGGGTTGATGGGTTAGTTGGGTTTGTTATATGGGTTTGGGTTAAATAAAATGGATATAGTATGTGGGTTTGATATAAATAGAAAATGTTGTGTTTGGATTTTAGGGTTTTCTTTGGTTTAGAACGACAGGTCCTTTGTGTTTGAGTTTCAGGGTTTTCTTTGTGTTTGGCTCATATTCGTTCATGAGGCCTATTACCACCGGTAAGGGTTGCTGGCCAAATTGTGTATGGACAATTGTTGGTGAAAGTTATTGTTGCCGGCTGAACTCCTACAATTGTACATCATTGCATGATTAGATATTAATAATTTAAACCAAAGATTATATATATGTGTACATACATAAATACATGTAACTAAAATGTATGTTTAATTATTTTCCATTTCATAATTTTTCTATATATACTAGCGAAAAAAAATTGAAAATTTGTACATCATTGCATGATTAGATATTAATAATTAAACCAACGATTATATATATGTGTGTATATACATAAATACATGTAACTAAAATGTATGTTTAATTATTTTCCATTTCATAATTTTTCTATATATACTAGCGAAAAAAAATTGAAAATTAATTCACTTATGCACTATAAATTTATCGCAGATGTTAGCTATATATATATATTGTTATTCTAATGAAGAAGAAGAAAAAGACACTTAAAATAAGAAATGCCTTGCAACCATTGTGGTTGAAACTCTTGGTAGTCAAAGGTGCCTTTATGTGATAAGTTATGTGCATAAGATGAATTTATATATATATATATATATATACACGCACATACACATAGCAGATGAATAAATTAAGAAAGTACCATAAAAGAGAAAAGTGAAGCTAAGGCTCAAGAGGGCTAGAGTTTTCATTGTTGAATTTTTTGGAATGGTTAGTTAGAAGGGAATGTATAATTGGTACATATAGCATCCAAGAATTGGAAAATTCGACGACGTATGCTTTGGGGTAGATTAAATAAGTTGTATTCCATCAGCATCAGCTATAGTGTTCTTTGTTTTTTTTTTTTTTTTTTTTTTTTTTTTTTTTTTTTTTTTTTTTTTTTTTTTTTTTTTTTTTTTTTTTTTTTTTTTTTCAGTTGGAGACTTGAAGAGAAATGAAAACGGAATGAAAAAAGAATGTGTATCGGAAATTTTTAATGGAATAAAAGTGGCGTATGATTGTCAAATCACTAAAATTTAAAATTTTTAAATTTTTATATTTATATATATTTTTACAGTTGGAATTTGAAATCACTAAAAATATATATTTATATATTTTTAAATTTGAATTTTTTTTTTTTTATTGGTTTTGGAATGTTAGTTAGAAGGGAATGCATTGGTATATATAGCCTCCAAGAATTGGAAAATTCGAGGACGTATGCTTTGGGGTAGAATAAATAAGTTGTATTCCATTAGCATTAGCTATAGTGTTCTTTGTTTTTTTTTTTCAGTTGAAGACTTGAAGAGAAATGAAAATGGAATGAAAAAAGAATGTGTATCGGAAATTTTTATTGGAATAAAAGTGGAGTATGATTGTCAAATCTCTAAAATTTAAATTTTTAAAATTTTGAATTTATATATATATTTACATGTGGATAAGGAGTGGTATATTCTAATTTAAAAAAAAGAGTGCATTTATCAAATAATTAACTTTTAAATATTACTTATTATCAATAAAAGAAAGAATTCAAAAATATTAAAAATAATAATAGAAACTGTCCTTACTATTAACTTAAGCTCTCTCATCCACATAAATGTATTAAGTTAATCCAAGCTCAAGATCAAGAGTGAATTTATTTTTTATTTATAATTTAAGTCTTAATTATAATTTAAGGTGCTATTACAATAAAAGGTTAAAATTCAAGATAAAATTGGTATAAAAGTCAAATTAGAGTGAAATTGTAATAAACTATTAAAATTAGGTGAAAATTAGTATAAAAATTAAATCAGAATAAAATTACAACAAAACATAAAGTTGAGAGTGAAATAATATATTGAGTCATTAAAATATTGTCTCCAAAGAAGAGAAGGGCATGAAATATATGTTTGATTATTCCAAGCACAATCAAAGTTGTTGGAGCACATTAGGCACCGCTGATTGGTGAATGTCAATTAAAATTTCGGTTTTCATCAATTAAAATTTCCACCTTTAATTGGACTTAGAAAAACAATAAATCTTTCATCTTGCAATTACTTTTTTTTATTATTATTATTTAACTAGAAGGTCAACAGGTCCATATCCATTTAACGTTCTACACAATCTAAATATTTTTCGTTCGATTCAAAAGGCTGGGGAACTAAGTCATTAAACAATCAAATAATAAATTTATAGGCTAATTGTAGATAAAAATTTTACAGAAATGAACGTCTCATATGAAAACTCATCATTTTCACAAGAAGCAATTTTATTCAATCCACAAAGGAAGTAGAAGTAATTAAATATTATGTGTTTTTGCAAACTCCAAATGCAAATAAAACTGACTAAAATAAAGATGAAAATTAATAAGTGGGAATTGTATTGAATAGTACGAAGAATTAAGAAAATGACGAAGTCACTGAGAATTTGTCCACTATAAAAACTAATTTTAATATTTTTAATAAATATACTAAAATATTAATTTTTTTTTCCAAATTTAAGGGAGCCCATTGTGCCCTTGGCCCATTCTGGGTCCGTCCTTCGCCACAAATGCCGAAGCAAAGTTAATCTTATAACAAAAAAAATAGTGGCTTCACCTACTAGTTATGGTTAAGTTCGCAACGCAGGCCAAATATAGAGGAAGAACTCTCAGATTTGATTCTTATTAAATATATCTGTAGTGAGGGGTGAAAAGTCTTAACTATGACTAAGTTTCGAGCCAAATTAGGCAATCCCTGATAATAGGATCCGGATAGTTTTAACTGTAACTAAACCCTGAGCTAAATTAGATGGTACCTGATAATAGGTTCCGGATAACCTTAACTGTGATTAAGTTTAAGCCGAATTAGGTGGTCCTGATAATAGGATTCGAATACTGATGGTTTACACTAAAAAAAATAGTGGCTTCAAAAATCAAACCCTAACTAATATATATACTGACATGATCCTTATTTTAAAATTGCCGGTTTTCAATTTCAGAACCAATTGTAGATTAAAAACATTTTGAATTTTAATTTTATAAAATTATAATAAAATAAACTGTTTTTTTCTTTGATTTCACAATTCTTTCATTAATAAAATAAACTGTTTTTTTCTTTGATTTCACAATTCTTTCATTTTTTTATGTTAATGATTTCAAATGGGAACCACTTGCAATAAATTGAAACAGTTGGTTCGGATTTCAAAAAATTAGGAATTAGAACCTATGTTAGTCACACAATCTCAATTCTAGTTTGGAATCAATTGAGCATCATTGGTCAAAGTTTAATTCTAATTTTTACTTTTGATTTTGGTTTGATTTGAATTTAAAATTGAACCATGATAGTATAAGATACACAAAATATTATGTTTTGCACAAAATTGAAAAAAATAAAAACATTTTCCAACTTTTACACCAAAGGCATCATGTAATGGCAAGTGCATATATGACCTGCAATACACCCAGATTCGAATCTCCTCTTCTGTTATTAAAAAAAAAAAAAAAAAAAAGTTATTAAAAAAAAAAAAAAAAAAAAACCATTTCCTAACTTTTCAATTTTTATTGCCTACAAATAAATAGTCCCAAAACAATCATGGACAAAATGTGATAAGATAATTTGCTCCACCACTACATGTAAAAGTGCTAGTCTTATCGTCATAAGCATAACTATAAGCTTGAGGACATTGGTGCTTGAAAATCAATGAATATTTCGTCGGTGGACATTTCTCTGGTGTACCAAACTCTCCGGTGCAACAATATTGCGGTTGATTAAATGCTACACATGCACTCTTGCAAGCAATAACCCCACCTACTCTAGTAACTGCAAGTTCCGGTGGACAATGGGGATTCAAATTAACCGGACAACCGGTTCTCTTACATTCACCAGCACCAACGCCGCCTTGTGGAGTCACCGAAATGGGCAAGTTAAAGCCATCAACAAGACTAACATCATAAAAATCCCTTCCATTGTTTGGTGCTATAGAGAACTCTACAAGAGAGGCAGGAAGAGGCAGGTGAACTTCCGGTCAACACGTTTCATTGGACTTTGGCCGGTGCCACTGTAATACCCTCAAATTTTATTTTTAAAAATTATCTATATTAAATTAAATGAACCCGCAAATCTGGAAATTTAAATATCTAATATTTTAATGCAAATACTGTGAGAAACCGAACGAAAACCGATTGAAAAAGCCGAAAATCAGTGGAAAATCGATTGATTTTGGGCCGAATCGAAACCGAATCGAAACGGTTTCGACCCAAATCCCTCTAGAAGCTCCTCTCCTTTTTCTAGCACGCTATCCTGCACCCTCTCTGCGCCTCCAGGTCTGTCGACCACCATCCCACCGCGCCACCTCCTCTCTTCTTTTCCCTTCTTCTTCTTCTTCTTCTTCTTCTTCTTCTTTCTTTCTTTCCTTTTTCTTTCTTTCTTTCTTTCCCTTTCTTCTTCCCTGCAACTGGGCCTGCGTCACTGCCAGCCCCTCCTCTAGCTCATCGCGCCACCACAGCCCCTTCTGCCTTCGATCGAGCAAGCGCCGCGTCTCACCCAGCTCGTCACGCCATCACCACCGCCTAGCCGCCGCTCCAGTACGCCTCCGATCACCAAGCTTGCAGAAAGTCAACAAAAAAAAAATTATTATGGGGTATAAATTAATTTAAATGCATTTTAGTTAATTAATTTAATTTTATTAATGATAGTTAATTAAATTTAGTTAGTTTAATTTTAATAATTTTAGTTGATTTAGTTAATGTTAATAATATTAGTTAATTATAACTTAAGTTTATTATTTGTAGTTAATTAATTTAGTAATATTAGTTAATGAAATAAAATTTTATTATTTGCAATTAATGAGTTTAGTTAAGTTTAGTTAAGTTAGTTTTAGTGAATGAAATTAGTTAATTGTAGTTAATTTATTTAGTTAAGTTAGTGTTAGTAATATTAGTTAATTAAATTAATTTTAGTATTTGTAGTTAATTAATTTAGTAGTAGTAGTTAATGAAATTAATTTTATTATTTGTAGTCAATTAGTTTAGTTAAGTTAGTGTTAGTAATATTAGTTAATTAAATTAATTTTATTTGTAGTTAATTAATTTGGTTAATTTAATTTGGTCATTGTGAATAGTTAATAGCTTTATAATATTAGTGTTGATATAATTAAGGTAGTTTTAAAATAATGTTATTGTAATGTATAAATTGGATTGTGTGGTGATGTTGAGATTGAAGGAGGATGGGAAAATGTTATTTGATTAATTGCCCGATGGATGGGCTTGCCCGATGGATGGGCTGTGTGGTTTTGGAAATTATTAGATATTGATATTTTAACAGGTGGATAATCCAAATTTTAGGGGAGATGCTGCCGAAAAGTCGGTAGAAAATAAATTGTATTTTAGAAACTAAATTACTTATATCGATTAAGTTATTCATAGAAATTAAAAATATAGAATAAGATTATGAGAGGGATAAATAAACAAAGAAATAAATAAACAAGAGGAACGAATTTATATATAGTTCAGTGAATTAAATACCGACTAAAGTTATTAACGTTAAGAATATTATATGATCAATCATATTATCATTATTAATATTATTATTATTAATCATATTAAATATTTTGATTAGTAGTATCATAAAATATTAATTACCAAATAATTAATATTAATTACCAAATAATTAGACGTTTTACTTAACAAATAAATTAGAAGAAATAAATCAAATAAAGATGCACTATAGATATATAGTTTAGTTTGATAAGTTAGTGAACCGACGAGTAACGAAAACAAATAAATGAAAACAAATAAATGACTGTAAACTGCATTTTCCAAATTAGAATTCTTATGTAGAATTTTCTTATTATATAGATACTTATAAAGTTTCGGACTGTGAAGACAAAGGCTGGGAGCGCGCACAATAAGAAAGGCAGTCCTTTGAAGGACAAATAAAAAAAACTGTGCTAGTGTTAGATAATTCCGCCTCATCCGCCTGCATTCATGCCATCACGACTAAATGTCATTACTGCTATATTGTGATGCACTATTTGTTGATATTAAATAATGTTTGATTACCTGTGATGTGATATTGCTGTGCCTTGTTTGTGTGGAATTGGAATGATGTGGACCACCATGGATTTGTGAGGACGGTCTATGTGATATGGATTCTGAATATGATGTGATATTATTAATAATAATAATATTAATAATGATTTCCTCCCATCCTCGTGCGCGATGCGTCCACCGGCACTAAAATGGAATTCAATCCAGACTACATCTCCTTTGTCGGTTACGACCGATCCCAACATAGGAGTCCTATGTTTCAATTTCCTAAGTTCCGCAATTGATTCCTAAGGCCCAACTTATGCTCTGATACCAACTTTGTCGCCTCCTGTTGGCATTTTTTTTTTTAAAAAAGAGAGAGAATGGAAAAACAATGAGAGGACTGGTCAGTGAGGATTAGACCAGTTGGCCGTATGGGGGTCGGCTCCCTGCTGCACATGTATGAGAGGGCGAGCCATGTGTGAGGACGGCTCGTTGGGGTTTTAGGTGGTGCCACTGACTAATTGGTGGTGCATGACTAATTTCCCACGTGAATTGAATTATATGAAGGTGATACTAATTGTGGTTGCTGTTGTATTGCCAATTTGTCTGACATTGCAATGATCATAAATTTAATCGATAACCAAATAAAAAATCATTTTAGCATCTGTGTGATTGTGTGGGGTGAGAGGGTTATTAACCCTAACTCATTGAGTTTGGCGCTCCCCTGCTCCTATTTGTTTTTCCAGGTAATAGAAGAAAGAAATCTATTGGAGTTGAGACATAAGTATAACGAAGACTGTAAACGATAAATAAATGATGATGTAAAATATACAGGGTAGAGTTCTTGCAATTGTATTCTAGTGGGTTGTACATGAACTTACTATGGTACATAATTGAAATAAAATTGTTGGGCCGTATCCACACATTTATGAAATAGTAAATGAGATTATGCATAATATAGGCTTACTACAGGCTTTTCGGGGGCTTTAAAGCCCACCCAGGTCTAGTGCGGTCCGGTCCATGGAATGGGTTGGTTGACAAAGTTGGTATCAGAGCATAAGTTTGGGCCTTTAGGAATAATTGCGGACCATAGGAAATTAAATAGAGAGCTCTATTGTTCGGGATCGGCCGTAAACCAAAAGGAGGTGTAGTCTGGATTGACTTGCATTTTAGTCGGGCCGGTGGAAGCATCGTGCACGAGAATGGAAGGAAATCTGTATGAAACTTAGGATGAGAACTAAAGGTACATAAATAATAGGAAGTTATAAATAGGTCTGGGTAACTGACGTTTATAAAAGACATATTTTGAGTTTGCTAAATCCCCTCTATAAAATTTTGAAGTAGGAGAATTGTTGGAAATTGGTGTAATGGCCTGATCACCCAGTACACCATGATTCGACAAGAGACACAGCTTCAAAAAAAAAAAAATATTTAATTTAATTATTTGAAAGTGTTTAGAAAAGAATATGGCGTTTTAAGGACAATATGAAAGTAAATTTATTTGAACTTTGATTTGAGAAAAATGTTTGATTATTTGCTTATTGGAAATTGTTTTGAAGTTGCAATTAATTGTTTGGTTTTATTGTGCTGTCGGCATGTCGAAAATTTATCTGATTTTAGAATTTAAATTATTTACAATGATTGCATATTTGCTTAATTTTTATCATGTTGTCTATCCCGAGGACTAAATTAGGCCTATAGAAATTAATATCGATCAATTAATAATAAATGGTATAGAATATGAGTTTGAATGAAAAGTGCAACTACGATATAGGTTAATTTCTAGAAATGTTCTGGTTGGGGATTAGAAAGTGGAAATTTTAATTTAAATTAAATTAAGGGTTAGAAAAAGAGGATTTAGGACAGATAATCATACTAGATAAGAAATCCTCAATTTACCTAGGCGAAACTTATGAATATAAAAAGCGAACATTTGTAAATTGCTTAAGTAGAATATTAAGGAGAAGAGAGACTTATTAGAATAATAAAATAGAGTCGGATATAGAAACAATAACTTGTGTCTAAGTACAATTAAAGGTATTGATTGAGGTAAATCTCGACATATAGAATTTAAATAGAGTAATTAAAACAATATAAAAGACAAAGGTAAATTAATTATGTGATTAAATGTGCGGAGAATAATTTTTAACTGGATAGGTCATATTGAGGTGAGGCAGAATAACTGAATATAATAAAGAAGCAAGTAAAAACTTCCTTTGAACAAATGGTATGAAGGGTACGATTTTGGGTGTTTAAAAATAGAATTAGAAGTGGTTAGTAAATAATTGGGCAAAAGTTGGCATTTAAAATTTGATTAGTATAAAAAAAAAAAAAAAATTATAAGGTGAAAATTTAGTTTGTAATGAATTCATTAGATATTATATAAGTAAGATCCTAGCACATGTAGGATACTTAAAGGGGCTAGACTAAATTCATTAATCTATTATACTAAAATGAATGTAGAAGATGGTGCATAACTTTACATCAGAAATGGGGAATGAATGGGGAAAGGAACGTGGATGCGCTAGGAAAACTTAATAAATTAAGGGAATTTGATATATTTAGATAGGGAGTTATGTAAAAAGGATTAATACTATTTATTAATCTAAGTTAAGTCTAAGAAATTTACATAAAATCTACTTTAAAGAATTAAGTACAAAATTAGATGAGGTGCTAAATAGAATGAAATAAAGATTTAATAACATTTGGAAAGGGATAAAACAAATCAAAGATAACTCATAATGATTAAGTAGAGATTGAAAAATTAGAATAGGAAATCTAAGGAGTAATGGCCTTACGACGGAATTAAAATTTGTGTAGAATGATGGTTTTACGCCATAGATTCATGTATCCATTATTAAACTCTTTTACGGATAAGATTTAAATGAGGTTAGGTACACTAAGAAGATATGGAGGATAAAAGAAAGATGAAGATAAATGAAAAATCTAAAGAACTTGAATAAGACTAGGAGATGTTGAATAGTAGAAAAGCCGATAATATAGTCAATTAATTTCTCTTTTGTGGAATACTAGAATAAATAATCAGAAACAAATCGGGAAAGAAGTTCAGATGTAAGAAATATGTATACAAAATAATACTAATAATAATAATAATAATAATCAGAACACGTTTTTCAAAAAATAAGAAAATAACATAAAAAAAAAATAAAAAAAAAAATACAGCGGGTATTGATTTTTCAAACTTGATGAATTTTTTTTTATACTCGCGATTGGATATGGTATTTAATGATATTAAAGTAAATGCAATATTTATTTATAAGAATTTTTAAAGTTATATGTGTGGTGACATGCCGATATTGTTACAAGTGGAAATAATATATATATATATATATATATATATATAATATTATATATTATATATTTTTTAAAATTTTAGTCAGTTACCCATAAGAATGGTACTTGCCTGTAGTTGATAATTCATTTGTTGAATTTCTTGCAATAGACGATTAATCTAATGTTTTATATTGGCGAATAAGGTTATAGAACTATCAGTAAATAAGACTTTTAAATTTGCTCAAAAAATCTTTAAGTAGACACAGTTTGAATGAAATGTTCTGATATGAAGATAAACTAGTGTTTGCAAACTATTTTATAAATGAAACCATTGAAATAGAAACTTTCTTAAGAAAAGAGATTTTGACATCAGTAACAGCAATGAACTGTAGAAATTAACTTAGAAATAGATATACTTAAAAATAGAAATTTTTGAGTACTATGCCTTTTTAACTATAGTAAATATGGATGAAATTAGAATTAAAGAGATTGATGTGAAACTTTAAATTTTTAGGTAATTTAAACGAAATCATAAGAAAACTATTCCTACTTTTAGAGGACGTTTTTGGGAGTTAACGATATGTTAATAAAATCAATTGAAACATGTGGCAATTAATATTCCCGAAGCCTCTTCGATACAATAGGAAAATTAATAAAATTTCAATTCCTACACGAAAAAGAGAAATGGAAGAATCTAGGGAAGTGAATCGTCAGGTAATTGCTAAAACTTTTTGACGTGTCAGCAAAAGGAGGAAAGACCTGAATAAGTCGAGGTGTAGATTGATAATACCAGGTAGCCTTTGTGCTAACTTGGAATTTATAAATATCTTTAGCTAGACAGAAATAAAGAGAAAAGGACTAATGAACTAAAGACAGGCTGAGAAGATAAGTTGGATATTATATTTGACAACTTTGATGACAAGGTGAAACAATTAGTTTAATGTATTATAGATGCTAATTAGAGATTTTGCTAACTATTTTTCATAATTATGGGCATAGTACTGAAGTCGTCAAATAGAAAATGAATAAATTAATTTAGTGGACATAGAATTTGACGCCTATTTATTTGATGTAATTTTTGATGGTAAGGTAACATAAAAGTCGGGGATTTAAGAAATTTCATTTAAAGACTTTGTATATTATTTATAGGTATTAGGTTAAAAGTCAATAGTTTGGGGCAAGTAATAAATGCTAAGGTTGAAACACTTTTTAATGAGATAAATGGGATAAAATTACAAATTAATGGAAATAATTTAAAAAAAAAAATGCTTCAATATTCTTAAGGATGGAAATTAATAAGCAATATATAGTGAAGTGAGAGGCGTAATATGAAAGTCAACTTTTAAATGATTACATGTTAAGATAATTTAGGCATAGGTGTTCAGACGTAAAGAACGACGATTAAATAGACGGTGTGGAGATCCCTATAGAGAAGCTAACTAATAAGTGCAAGGGTATGTTCTTAAGTAAATGAACTATTTTAAATAATTCCGCTAGTGTACGATAAGGATTACGGACTTGTCATAAAAAGGAACTGGTCGGTGAGCTTGTATAACCTACGATAATATAGACAATCGGAGTTATAAAGAAAATTTTCTTAAAATTTTCGGATTAAGTAATAG